TTTGGAGAGACATGCTTTTAGAGGTGGTTGTACAGCTGCTGCCTCTGTCTGGTCCTAAAAATAGCCTCCTCTCTGCCCAGGCCCAGCTCAGGTCTGGGCCAGAGCTACACCGAGGGCTCACAGTCAGGAAGGGACAGAATGTGGGGTGGGACACAAGTGTCCCAAAGATGGGAAGACAGGAGGAGGGAGGTTACCACCTCAGGACCTGCCTCTTGACTCTGGTCTTCTCTGTTGCCCCAGGAAGCTCCCTAGAGAAGGGGCAGGTTTTCTCATCCCTGTGTTTCTGAGGGGACAATGAGGCATAGAAAGGCTAAGCCAGCTGACCCAGGTCATATACTAATACCTAACATTTAGGAAGACCTTACCATGTGCCTGTTTTCACTATTTTAAGCACCATTGACATAAAGGACCCTATGATGTAGGTATTGTTAGTATTATTCCCTTTGATAATCAAAGAAATGAAGGCCCAGAGACATGAACTCACCAAACTTAGGGTCAGAAAGTAGAGGCAGAATTCCACCTCAGGCAACCTCACACACACCCAGGCACAGCCAAGGCCGAGAACCCAGCCCACCCAGGGCACAAAAGGCTGAGGAAGAGGAAGTGAAGTCCCAGAGTTGCTCCAGAGGAGGGTACCCCAAGTGAGATGGGCATGGTGGCCTAATATCTACCTTCTAACGAGTTCATTATAATCACAGACACAAGGCATTCCTGAGTCTGCTGCCCAGCAACTACTTGGTCAGACTGGCTTTGAATTTTTATTTTATTTTATTTTTAAAGATTTTATTTATTTGACAGAGAGAGAGAGAGAGAGATCACAAGCAGGCAGAGAGGCAGGAAGACAGCCCAATGCGGAGCTCAATCTCAGGATCATGAGATCATGACCTGAGCCAAAGGCAGAAGCTTAAACCACTGAGCCACCCAGGTGCCCCTGGTTTTGAATTTTTATATATATCCTCCCTAGCTATCCCATTTACCTCACATGCTGCCACTTACCCCATTTTCTTTTTTTTTTTAAGATTTTATTTATTTATTTGACAGAGAGAGCAATCACAAGTAGGCAAACAGGCAGGCAGAGAGAGAGGAGGAAGCAGGCTCCCCACTGAGCAGAGAGCCCGATGTGGGGCTCGATCCCAGGACCCTGAGATCATGACCTGAGCCAAAGGCAGAGGCTTTAACCCACTGAGCCACCCAGGCGTCTTACTTACCCCATTTTCTGAAAAGGCTCAGGGACATGGTACCGAGCCAGGTCTTGGGGAGTAAGGACCGCAGAGACTCAGTCAGTGGATCATTCTCCTGGGCATAGGCAGGTGGGAGACAGCAAGGAACCTTCCAAGCCTGAGTGATGTAAATGCCCAGAATCAAGCAGACTTGGGCTTCACAGACAGCGGTGAAGATGGACAGAGGATAGAGGGAAGGAGAAAAAAGGGAAAAGCCAGGGGAAAAAAAGGAAAAGAGGAAAGGAGGGAGAAAGAAGCGGGGGAGAGGGGAGAGAAAGAAAGTGAGCAAAAAGTGGGTTCTCAAGACTAGCTGGCCACACTTTCTAGACTAGAGGAGGCCAAGAGGGGAAGGGCTGGGCCTGCGGAGCATGACAACTGGGGTACTGGAGAGAAAGCCCTTGTGTCAGCAAGAGGGTGGGGAAGGAAAGGACCATGCTGGCCCCAGGATCACTGGATGCTGTAAACACTGCTTCAGTCCTGTCTCCTCTCCAGTTCCTCTGTTGGACTTGTCTGTTTAAGGCCCAAGCACACACCATCCTCCCACAGAGACACTAACACAATTAACAAAACACATTCATAAATCTTGCATGGCGTCCAGAGCTGTCTCTTCTCTCCCCAGCATGGGGTCAGCTCCGGAGATCCTGTGCAGAGAGCTGTCTGGCTCTCCAGCGTCAGAGCCTCCTGAAGAAAGCAGTGTGAACCTTAGTAGGACAGCAGGACCACTTTTTTCCTGTGGGAGCCCCATCATAAGGCGGGGACCAGGAAATACTAAGTCAGAAGAAGCTGGTGGGGAGGTGGATATGAATATGTGTTTGCGGGGGCCTGGGGGAGTGGATCATGCCTTCTAAGCTCCAAATGAGAGCATTCCTCAGAGGCCCACAGAATCACCCATTGGGGGGGGGGTATTTTACTGGGGAGGACAAAGCAGCAGAGTCTATGAGACCAAGGGCATCTGCATGAGGGTATGGGCATGACCTGGCAGCATGGTTGGGTGTTTATGTTTTGTGGGGGGGGTGTGTGTGTGTGCAGTCTGGAAGACTGGTGACTCACTAAAAAAGGGAGCTTTCTGATCTGAAGAGCTTATTTTCAGCTATTTTTATCTCCTCTTGTCTCTTGGCCCTTTTTTTCCCCCTTGTCTTTTTCAAATGCGGGGGCTGTGAATACTGTGTGTGCCTACGTGAATTTTAGCTTGAGCCAAGAGGTGGGAACCCCCCCACCCCGGAGTTAATGCACAGTTGGGCTCTACAGGTGCACAGCAGGGGCACACTGAGACACAGAATATCCTATTCTGGTATGTCCATGTACAAGCATATAAGCAAGTGTGTGTGAGGCCAGAGAGGTCCCTGGACGTTTCCACACCACCCACCTGAACCTGTGGCCACAGGCACAATCCTAGGCCCCTGTCTTGGGGAGTGTCCCTGACTCCTGTCTTTTCTCTCTTCGCTCAACCACCCTCCCCTCCAAAATGTTGACATCTTATCAGGAAGGCCCTTCTCTCCTCTGTCAACAGGGAATAAGAAATGAGCTGCTAACTGAGCTTCTATTATGACTCATTCTAGCCCATCCTTCTCACCCACCACCTTTGGCCCTGAGACACTGCTCCCCAATCCAGCAGTCGTCCAGCCATCTGGGGCCAGCTTGTGCCTGGGCTGACAGTCCAGGCCTGAGAGATATATTCCTCTTCGTGGGAGCTCACTCTTCCAGCCCATAAAGAGGAAGAGGAGAGGGAGTTTTCTGAGTGCTCTAGCTCCCAGGAAGACATTCCAACACATCCTTCCCTCCCTCCACTCCACAGAGGGAGCAGGCAGAGAGCAGACTGCATTCTTGAGGGTTCTAGAATGCCCGCAGATCACTTGACGTAGGGTCTATGTTGAGATGACCAGAGATGACCATGTACGTGCTCACGTGGTAGCATGACAGTATGCACGGGTGCTGACAGCAATACACACAGCCTGTGGCAGATGCTCTCCGTATCACTCCACACACGCACGGAACCCCACTGCCCACCTTCCCACATGGGCATACACACTGGCACAGACCCACGGTCAGCACACACATGCACGCTCACTCCTGCTGGACCCTATGAGCGCTAATGGGAGGATTCCGTCATGATGGGCAGCCTGAAGTCCACCACATCCTTAAGTTTGCAGTGTATGTGTGACTGAAAGGCCCCTGGCCAACAGGGCCCAAACCCAGCCACTTGTGCCTCCTTGAGCCATGTAGTCTTCTGAAGGCCCAGAGAAGGAAACATTTGTCTAGTTTGTCTGCCCAAAGGCATTGTAGCTCTTGTGTCCAGTAGGCATTGGGTATCAGCTCTTGAAGGAGCTGGCTATCTATCCACTCACCCACCTCATCCCCGTCCACAAGCACTTGGGGTGTGTGTGCTCATGTAGGTCATTATTGCAGAGGAGGACGAACCAGAGCCCTCAGAGTCTGGCAAGGAAGACAGACACCTGTACAACTAGCCTGACAGAATGTGCCACCAAGACTGTGTCTGTGCATGAGCTGCAGGGAGTTGTTACTTCTTCCCACTGGGACCTGGGGGCCTTCACAGAGAGGAGGGTAGGACTTCTGCCTCTGCCTTGAATGGCAAGTATACTTCACCAGTTTGAGGAGGAGCTTATGCAGGGGAAGCAGAATATAGCCAGTGACTAGAGAAGGGCATGGTGAGTGGTAGAACAGCAGGCTTGAAAGTGCACAGAGAGGGAGAGATCACATCCCGCCGGCAGGTAACTTGGGTTCAAATCCTGCCTTTACTAGTCTGTGGCCCTGGCCTCAAGAAAAGATTTTGAATTATCTCTCTCTCCTCTCTCTCTTCTTACCCCACTAGAAGGAAGAAGTCTTTGCCTTTCTTGAAAGATCTGGTTGGCTTCCAAATGGGTGCCCTCAAGGCATCCATGCAGTGAGGAAACTAATAGGGCCTATCCCTCTGTGATGTTCTGAACTTAAATGAGAGACTCCATGGGAAGCTGTTGGCACAGAGCTAAGTAGCTTTGTACTGTTACTAGCCTCTTTTATGGCTAAAACAGTGGTTTTCAATGGAGGCAATTTTGCCCCCTGGAGGACATTTATCAATATTTGGAGACATCTTTGTTGTGAAAACCTGGGAGGCTGGGTGGGGTGCCACTGCCGTGCAGCTGAGAGAGCCCAGGATACTGCTAAGCTTCCTGCAGCACCCGAGAAGGACCCCACAATGCAGTAGGCAGTCCCAAATGTACATAGTGCAGAGACTAAGGAGTTGCCTCTCTCCTGAAGACCATGAGGTGCTAATGCTTTCTAAGGAGAAATGACGTAATGAAATCTAAGTTCCAGAAAGAAAATCCCATCAAAATGTGACACACTAAATAGATCATTCAGGACCCTGTTGGTCTGCAGAGGGGGTCTGAGTGGCAGCGTGACCAGCAAGGGAGCAGCAGGGCACAAACTCAAGGGGCGTAGGAGAGAGGCGAGGGTTGGCCAGAGGGGGCTGGGATGCAGAGGGAGGAACAGGCATGGGTCTGGTCTCGGGGCGGGGGGTTCTGAAGCTTGTGAGACTGAGCCAATGGTGATATTGCCTTACACCACAGCCTCTGAGGAGGAGGCTGTTTGGCCCACCAGCATGAAAACACCTCCAACATTCTGGAGGTTAAGCCATGTGACCTCCATGCCATCTGCTCCCACTCCTCCCTCCCCGCCCCCAGGGGCATAGGACCGCTCTTCAAAAGACCACTCACCACACCTCTCAGGACCCAGGAAAGGTGGGCATCCTGCTGTGCCCTTTCTCCCTCCTTTTCCTTCCAGCTCCCCTTGAATGGATGGAGATGGAGACCCTGAAAGAAGGAAGGACTGCCCATGGCCCTAAGCAAAAGTGCCACAGAATGAAGATGACCACTCTGGGCTCCAGATGTCTATCTAGCACCTGTCCATCTTTCAAGACACTGCAGCTCCGGTGGCCTGCGGAGGGCAAAGGAGAGGGACCCCAGAAGCATGGGCAGACTTGATCAGAACAGAGATTGAGCCTCCTTACCACCCCAAGTCCCCATGTCCCCTTGAATGAGCCCTAAAGACAAGTTAAAGGAATTGGGGAGAAACCCCAAGCAGTCAATACATCAGCAGGTGAGCATGTGATATGTCCTCATGTGTGCTCAGTGCTGAGAAAGATGGTAGAGATATTTAGGAAGTCATTCCTCACAAATATCAGAAATCTAATTGGGAGGGCAAGACAAAGAGGCAGAGAACGACCAAAAGACAATTAACGGGACTTGGTAGAGCATAAGGAACCCTGGATAAGGACTAGACCAGAGTTATGTCCGGGCCTTGGGGCCTGAAGCAGGGCCCTCACACTTCAAGAAGCTCCAGCTACCTGATCCATATAGACCACTTCTAGATGTCTGGCTTAGAGATGGTGGTAGCACTTCTGTTGGGTTGGTTACTCTTGATTGCCCAAAGCACTGTGTTGAGGATTCTGAGGCAACCTTCAGGCTTAGCAAAAGTGCTGTGGTTAATTAGCGCTGCCTAGGTTGAGTGCTAACAGATGTGGTATCAATGGGATGGCCGCTGACTACTCCGGAGTAAGAGCAACTGACCAGGATCGTTTGTAAGGACTCATCTGGCTCTCAAATTTTCTAATTCTGTGCTTTCAGTGGTAAATTTCAAGGTACTGGCTGGAAGCACAATAAGTCAGGGGAGGAAGAGCTCTGTGTGGGTTAGAATCATCAGGGAAGGCTTTGGGAAGGAGGCGGAACTTTAGCTAGGCCTTGAAGTGGGGGAGTGTGAGTAGCTGTACAGGAGGTGGGAGGACATTTAGATGCATGAAAATGGGGCTGAGCATGGGCTGTGCTTGGTACAGGAAGGAGGAGGCCAGCCTCACTGGAAGGCACTGTCTTCCTTTGGGCAGATAAGATTAGACACGCAAGGCTTGGTCATATGGAAAAATAAGAACTAACATTTATTGAGAGCTTACTATGTGGGAAGCCACAGAACAAAGATGACTTTCCACAAAATATTTCATTCAATCATCACAACACGCCCACAAGGTAAGTCCTATTATTAGCCTTCTTTTCTAGAAATGGAAGCACATTTACAGACATAACGTGACTTGGTCAGGGTCACACAGCTAGATGGAGGTAGAGTTAGGTTTTCAGGCCAGGTAATGTGATTCTGATGCTTGCAGGTATAACATCTCTGCTCTTGCTTCTCCTCTCCTCTTAAAAGTGGGGCAGTGAGGGAACCCAACCCTGCTTCTCCAAGGTCCAAAGAGAGAGTAGGAACAGCTGCATCTTGAAGAAGGAAGACCTAGGACATCAATCACGTGAACAAACCCATGCCAAGAATGTGGTAGTATGGACACATGTCCCAGGAAGCACAAAGAACCGTGGTTCCGGGCTCTGGCACTTTCCCCAAGCCCTAAATAATCTACCAAGTGAGGTCCCAGCATTGCAGGTAAAGCAGCAGGTCATGATATTCCGAGGATTTGGGGCTAGCATGTGAAGGTAGAAATAGATTCAACCCTACTCATACCTCAAGCTCAAGAAGAGAAGGCAGCAGCCTTGAATGAAGATCTCATTTCAGAGATCTTAGCTTATAGCCCTGCCTTAGCCCAGGGCTACAGCCTCTGGCCATCTCAGCACTGTCCCTGCCTGGCATCTGGTGGTGTGCAGGGGAACTTCTGTCCCTTCTCCCTCTTTTCCTAGCCCTCTCTTGTCCTTTCCTCCCTTTCTGGGTTCAGGGGCAAGCCCAGCCTCTCCCCAGCTTCTACTCTTTGTTCAGTGGGACCCAGGGAGATACTGCTATGCATCTCCCTGCCTCTAAGCCCGTGAGCAGAGGAAGAGACTCATGTCTTTTCATTCTTTCTTCACCACTTGTTCCTGACCACCCAACAGCCCTATACCATGCAGGCATGGCTCAGAAATTGGGAGATCAGTATGAAACCAGCCCGGAAACTCCCCAGTCTTTCTCACAATCTCTCTCTTTGCACCCTGACCCAGGCTCTCTGTCTCAGCTGAGTAAATTCACTCTCAGGACTCCCTGAAGGCTCTTCCTTCTGGTTCCTCCATCTGGCTTCAGGGAAGCCTCTGGGCCCCACTGACTGAGGAAGATACAGAACCATAACAATGGACTGGAGGCTCTCACAAACCACCTGCTCAACTCCCACTCTTGTTGTCCAGAATATGCTCATTGACTAAAGACCTAATTTTGTAACTCTCTTTCTAGAACTTTCCTCCTTTCTAGACCACTGGGCCACAGTGTCCATCCTCACTGTCAGGAAATTCATCTTCATTTTCCAGCTTAACTTCTCAACTGTCTCTATTCCTTCTTGTTCTGGGGAGTAGCATGGTCTGACCCCCCCCCCCACCAAGTGACGCTATTTGTTAGCAGTCCACCCCCCAAAAACATAAATCCTGTCTTACCTCTTCTAAAGCATACACTCCTAGTTCCTTGGACCTGAGGCACAGAAAGAACAATTTCCTTCCAGTCAGTAAGTGACAAAGAGGAGCAAACCTAGTCTTTTCCTTCATCTACCTTGAAGAACCTGAGTGGAACTCCCCCCACAGCTCTCCCCAGCCCCCTGAGCTTTGCTCTTTCTTCCCAGTGGACCCAGTGGCCAGGTGTCCTCAGGCAGGCAAATCTCCAGCAGCCAACTTCTCATCTCTCTTGTTTCCTGCTCTTCTTGTGTATCTCTTCCCGTTACATGGGTACACATACACAATCATTTCAGGCCTTCTCTGGAGCTGTCCCCAACAGAACTCATATTGGCTCCAGTGTGAGAGGCAGGACATGCTGCTGGGTCTCTCTCTGTCTGGAGAGCGAGGCCATAAGGGAGCAGAGGCAGAGCTGCTCTAGCAGCAGCACTGGAGAGGGTCACAGCTCAGAACAGAAGTCAATGCCCTGTCCATGACCTGCTGCTTGGCTCACACATACACACTGAAGTCCTGGGGTACTTCATTCCCACCACCCGTATCTGCTGTGGAGCTTACAGGAGAGAATGGAACAGCCCCCAGAAGGCATTGAGGCATGCCCATGGAACTCATGAAGACAACCCAAACCTTTTTCCAGTGAGAGTGTATGTTATGGCCTTTAGCCCTCAAAGTGCTACTTCCTAAGGGAAGGACACTTCACCTAGCTGGTGGGTGGGATGGGCTGGAATAGGTGAGTGCCATTGTGGGAGGTGTAGCAGCCATTCTGACCCCATCATACCCTGTTGTCTGTGGAATGAGCCCCAGTTACATAATGCTCCAGCTGACTTGGTATAAACTATGACTAAGAAAACTTTCCAAAGACAGTTGGTGGTCCTCCACCCCCCTGCAACTGGTGAGAACTACCCCCACAGAGAGCAGAGCAGAGATTAGGGCTCCTAGCTCCATGGCCCTGACTCATCACACACACAAACACTCCCCAACACTTTTTCCCAAAATGGTTCCCCTCCTACCCGTCCACCCTCCTACCCGGGCTGGGTGACAAAAATGAACGCCCCAGAGATCTTGTCAAGTTCTGGGCCAGGCTGAGCCCAGGGAACATAACATTCTCCATAGAACGAGGAGGCCAGCTCTCCCACAGAAACAAAGTCCATTCAAAGGAAAATCACCACTGACCAACCCTACTATGGTCACTGCATTGTTTCCCAAAAACTTGGACTACCTGCCCTCAAAACAGAGCTCAAAGCTTTGAAATCATAAAATATTAGAACTTAAAGGAAACCTAAAGGTCATGTTTAACTTCTCTCCCTCCCTATTTCCATGCATCTACTCACACATTCATATCTATCCACTCATCACATAGTTATTGAATTCCTACTATTTGTACATATGGTGCAAGCAGTGGGGTCCTAATAGATGTACCCTCTTCTCAAGTAGCTTATCATCGAGTGTGAGAGAGGCAGGTGAAAGGGAAGTCACTACAGTATGATAGGTGCCATGACAGGAAGGACACCTGTTCCCACGGGGGCGGGGTGTTCATGGACACTTATTGGGAGAAACCTTACCTAGGTTGAGATACAAAAAAGAAGGAAATCCCATTTCATTCAATAAGGGGTCTGTTCAACAGTAATATGGCCAAAGTATAGTGTTAAGCATGCTATATGAAGATGAATTAATTGTAGTATCCACCAACGAATGGAGGATATAAATAAAGCTAAAAATTACCAGTAAATAAAGCTAAAAATTACCAGTATGAGGGACCCAAGAAAAGGACCCATGGAGCCCTAAGGAGAATTTAAGAAAGGGTGAGGTGAACTATCCCATTGGGTAAATCAGAAAAGCTCTGAGGAAGAAGTGGAATTTGGGTTTATCTTGGGAATGAATAGAATTTAGAAGCACAGGGGTGCCCAGGTGGCTCAGTCGGTTAAGCCTCTGCCTTCAGCTCAGGTCATGATCCCAGGGTCCTGGGATCAGGCCCCGCAATGTGTTCCCTGCTCCGCGGGAAACCTGCTCTCCCTCTCCCACTTCCCCTGCTTGTGTTTCCTCTCTCGCTGTCTCTCTCTCTCTCTCTGTCAAATAAATAAATAAAATCTTTAGGAAAAATAAAAAAGAATTTAGAAGCACAGATGGGGTGGAGAAGGCATTCCAAGCAAAACTAATGGTATTAGCAAAGCTTAAGCACTAGTGATGTCTGTTTGGGTGACTGATAATATACCAGTTTGACTAAAGCTTGTAAGATGAAGCAATGGTAGATACAGCTTAAACATAGGTCAAGGTCTTATAATAAGGGACAATTCTTAAATTTAAAGCTAAGCTGGGCAATTCAATCAATTCACTCAAATTCACAGTCACAGTTAGTAGAAGGCATGTCTTCTGGATTCAACTTCAAGACTCCTTCTGCAGGTCCTAGGCATTCAGGTTTCTCCCTTGCCATGACTCAGGCCCCTCTCTGTGGGGGGGAACACCGTGGCTGACTCCTCTGTCCCCTTGTAGATGGGGCTCTCACTGCAGAGCAAGCAGACCCCAGGCTAGTAATCCCGGCTGCTCTTACTCCCACCTTTTTAGATGAATATGTAGATTTTCTTAAAGAAGGTAGAAGAGTCACCCTAACAGACTGGGTTAGGTTCTCACTTTGGCCCTTGCCCAGCGCAGTTTGAAGCATCTGGAATTCCTATAGCTAGTGTCCTTTCTTCTTGCTCCCGCTAGACCCGACCTGTGGTCTTTAGGGTTAACACTTTTTTGCTTTAGGTACAGCGCCAGTTCTATGCTCGAGTCCACATGAGTGTTTATGACTGCATGCTCTCAAAATACGGAGACACTGTACCTAGAATTCCCTTTGAACAGTCAAGCACAACACCAAACAGCTCAGCATCTGAAGCTGGGAATTGGCATTAAAGGGCGGGCTTGGTTGCGGTAAGGAATTGTAATAGTAAGAACCAGCCACAAGGTGGTGCCGAGAGGCTGACGGAAGGGTTTGCCCAGGCTGGAAGCAGATCTGCATTCCTGCCTCAGCCGGCGTGGCGGTTCACAGGGGATTCTTCTCTCCTAGGAAGGCTGCACATCAGGGCTGGCAGCGGGACCCAGAAATGTGGGGGAAGACTCACAGATACAGTGTTTGCTGTTTGCTCTCCTCTATTCCTTTTACAAGCCATCTGTGACCAAGAGCAGGACAGGGAGCCCCTGAGGGCCATCAGATTTGTATCCTGCTGTAAGATGGGATGGAGTGTGGGGTGTGTCCGTGTCCTTGAGGTTTGAGAGACTGGTTGGCAGGGTCGAAGATGCTTTCTTTTTAGTCTAACAAACTTTTTGGAAATAAAGCCAGTCCCTGGAGGGACACTGTGCCCTGGACATTTGCTTATGCCCCAGAATTGGACATTTTAAGAGAGTGTCTGGATACTTCTAAGAAGTACAGAAGAGTTTCCTTTCTATTATCCATCCAAAACTCACCTTACACATAAACCATACAAGTCAATTATTTCTCTTAGTTCAGTTTATATCTGTGGCTAAACATGCATTTCTATGAATGTCCTTTTCCAGACGTCCCTCGATATCTTTCTGCAAAGTACTGCTGAGAGAAACATCTATGCACGCACAGATGCACACATATCCATCTTCCATGCATTCCACACATACCACTACCATCTTCTCTCCACATCTGCTCATACAAGGATCCCACATGGAAAGTTATATATGTATTTCTCCACCCAGAAAGGCAAAAGCACACATACATACCCCCCAAGGTGGTACACAGTGTAATGAGGAGACCAGAATAACAATACCCTTGCAGGGTGAGGGTTAGCACAATTTGGCCTTGTAGTGGGAAGTTTGTTTCCAACTTACACATACTGGTTCAGAGCTCAGCTCGGGAGATGGAGGCGGAGGAGGAGAAACAGAGGAGAGCTTATCAAAGAGTCTGACTGCAAAGTCTCCCCAGCTATGAGGACAAAAATTACATAAGGAGAGGAAACTTTTGATTTGGGTTTGTGTGTGTTGGGGTGGCGGTGGGGGGTGGGGTGTCAGCAAAGTGTGAGGTAGCTTCCCCAGTCTCAGTAGGAGCCAGGAAGTTTTGCCTCAGACCTTTGAACTTGCCTTTCTCAGGTCAAC